TCCTCTGATGCTGCTTGTCCTGCTGTGTTCATCCAGCTCTACACCGTGTTATCTCAGATTCTCCAGCATCGGCAGTTCCCACTATCCCTGCTTTAAGAGTTGGGGGTGTGCAGGACACCTCTTTGCCCTTACTACTGACTTCATGACCCCATCACTCCCTGCTGGCCAGGGCTCCAATGACAAAGCTAGTCCTAGGGCAGTATTGTATGGGTACCAGCCACTGCCTCCTCAGTGGCATTGTCATGCAATAGAGCTGTTGACCTCTGATTGGCAGGCTACTCTTGGCATATGGGATTTCTACCCTGGGATTCTTGATGCCAGGCTTGGCACACCAGTGTCCAGTTAAATGCCTCAAGTGACACTTTTATACGTGGGCTTTCCCTGAAAGAAGTGAGATAGGACGCTCACTAGCATCGCAGCAGTGGACAAGACACCTATTGCTTGCATTATAAGCCACCTTTTGTGTCTGATATCCTGGTGTGGGGAGCATCTTAGCTACCCTTGGCAGTTAATACGACGAATCAGCTCTGATTATTTTTTCATGCTGCTGTCAATAATTTTATTAACATGTCAACTACTGTCCTAATAGGTGATCAAGCTGACTTTTGATGCGTTTGAATTGGAAAGAGGCTACGACACATTAACAGTTGGGGATGGTGGGCAGCCTGGAGAACAGAAAACAGTGCTTCATGTGTAAGTAATGTCTTTGTTGAATGCAGGATAGGAAGATGTAAAGTTTCCACTCATTGTTCTTGTTTGCCAGGCTTTTAGAGATGCTATAAATTAAGCTTTTTTTTAATGGGCAAAGGACCAAGAGGCACCTTTTTAAAAAGTTTTCAGTTTACTAAGAAACTGAGCGCAATACACCAATATATTAATAAATGGTTCCACATAGTTTTGTTTTACTATCATTTTCAGTCGCTTGAAGTTGAATTTTTTTCTCTGTTCATTCATGGGATGTGAGTATCGACGGCTGGGCCAGAATTTATTACCCACCCCAAGTTGGGAGGATGGTAGTGAGCTGCCTTTTTGGATCACAGCAGTCCACATGCTGACAGTAGATCAACAATGCTGTGATGAGAGAGTTCCAGGGTTTTGACACAGAAACACTGAAGAGACTGAAATGTTCACAAGCATTAGCTTGGAACATTTCTTTATGACAAACTGATGTTTAGCAGTTCTAATTAAACTGTCAGATTACCACTCAAGTGTAACAAAGAATATTTCTTCATTTTAACATTCCTTATTAAACTATAATCTAAACTATAAAAGAACTATAATCTAAAATACAGCCCAAATGCACTGGTTCATGGCAAATTTTACCTTTGTCAAAATACATTTTTGGGGGTGACATGGTGGCTCACTGCTTTGCACTGCTGCCTCACAGCGCCAGGGACCCGGGCTCAATTCTAGCATCGGGTGATTGTCTGTGTGGAGTTTGCATGTTCTCCCCGTGTCTGCGTGAGTTTTCTCCGGGTGCTCCGGTTTCCTCCTACGGTCCAAAGATGTGCAGGTTAGGTGGATTGGCCTTGCTAAATTGCCCATAGTGTCCAGTGATGTATAGGTTAGGTGGATTAGCCATTGGAAACTGCTGGGACAGAGTAGGTGGGTAAGTCTGAGTGGGATGTCCTTCAGAGAGACTTGTTGGGCCAAATGGCCTGTTTCCCCACCGTAGGGATTCTATGATTCTCTGCTTAAACTAAGCGAAATAAAAGAGTTGTGAAAGAAAACTGTGCAATTTGCATTCAATGGCTGATCACGTCCAAAGCAAAAGCTTTTGATTTTTAAATGTAGACTTGCTCTTCGTGAAACATTTTAATGTAACAAGCAGCTAATAATAATTAATTTTGGATCCTAGTGCTCTCCCAACAGAAAATGTAACTTGAGAAGAATGTTTTAACCCAAGTTTAGAACTCAGATTCACTGAGTAGGTCTCGAAAGGAATCAGGAAGCCCCCAAAGCAATCTTAGCAACTCTAGGAGCCATGTTAACTTCTGGAGAATCGTCCTGTGGAACAAAGAGGGATTGACCAGTTTGGGAAAGTGATGCTTCAGTAAGAGACCAGTCCGTTTTACTGCCTGACCTTTTAAGTGGAGGTTGTGAACTGCTTGCTCGCCCCAAATGGGTGCCCATACAGAGACAGCTCTGTATTTGAGCCAGCAGTGCATTGCATGGTTCCTTTGCAGGAATGGGTCTACAAGGGTTTGACAACATAGAACAGAAAAAGCATGGGTGGTGGTGGCCCAAAATATATATTTTTGTGAGTATTCTGCTCATTCCAGCCACTAAAAATATAGATTGTTTTTTTTGATGCCACTTAGTCATTCCAGTTCTGACAGCAATAAGGCGTCAACAATGGGTGTTGCACTCAGTAGACTGTAAAAATGGCTTGATAAGACAATAATAAGTGCAAGAGCATGAGGTTCCCAACTGAATCTCTAGCAGCACCAGTTGCCTGACTTTATGTTTGTTCTTAAGAGAGGCAAGAATGACAACACAACCGTTTTCATTTCAACTCCTGTTTTCTGCCAGTTTCCAGTTTCCTTTTCTGTGACTTTTTTGCACCTGAAGGAGATGCTTTATCTTCTCAATAATGACACAGGTTCTTGAGGTGACTTGTTTATTATGCTGAGGACGGCAAGCTAATGTCACCCAAATCTTCAAGAAGAGAAACTTGTGAACTTCCCTTCAGGAATGTAAGCTACTGTTTAATGACTGCAATCTGTATCACTAAGAATTCAGTTGGGATCTTGGAAAACACAAATATTGAGAGAGTACAAAAGGTGGCTGCTGAATTATTCACTTTCGGATAATGGCTTAATTAGTTCATCGCACCATCATCATCAACTTCACGTTTCAATTACTCCTCACTTTATGACATTTAAGATGCCATCAGGATCTGATTTTGGTTTAATTTTCTGACATTTAGAATGAAGTCAGTTTGTTCTAATCAGTTATTTTTTTCTGATTTTCTCCCTGGCAGTTTGACAGGGACGGATGTTCCTGACCTCATTGTGAGTGTGAGCAATCAAATGTGGCTGCAGTTCCAGACCGATGAGACCAACAGTTTGCTGGGTTTCAAGGCTGTATTTTCAGGTACTGTGTACAATAATGAAGAATTAAGAAAAAAAAGACCATTCAAAGTGTAGCAAATGCTGCCTCAAACTCTGTATCATTGACTAAACTAAATGCTGTGGCTCTGAAAAGAATCTGGATTCTTTTCCAAACATCGCTTAGAAGCACCTCGAATACAATGTCTGTTTATACCAGGTTGCTCATAAGCAGAGCTATGTTTTCAGGCACTTTAGAGTCTCAAAGACAACACAGAGACATGAAGCAAAAGAAAATGTGATGAGGGGGAGGAATAGAAACTCAGTGGAGGAAGGCATAGAACAATTGTTTCAGAACACATTTGCCACACTTTTACAATATTTGAGTTCTATTGTGACAGACTGAGGGTCAAAAGTATGAGGAGTTGCTGAGTAGGGACTGGCATTTACCAACAAAATGATTTGTTGTTGTCTGTGACTTGGATACTGGTTGCAAAATAATGTTCTGTCGAAAATCTCCAGTGTTTGATAAAGGAGGAGTGTGCACTGTTTGAAATTGTAAATATGTCAACCTGAAGACTGATGCAATAATATTGCACTTACAAAGAATAATTGCAGGACAAAAAGAACTTACAGATCATATGTTAAAGAGATTTAAATATTTGACATTTACAAGGAACATTTACTGTTCAGAATAATTTGAAACAGGTAAGTGGGGAGAGAAACAAATTCCAGACATTATTTATTGTGGAGTAAAAAAAAATAACAGGAACATTGTAGCTCAGAGACACACAGAAACAAGATACCCAGTGAGAAAATCTCCAATAGGGTGAAAGCACATGGATGCTTTAAGCATTAGGATGATGTAGGTTGTTGTAACATTGTGCAATACAATGTTATAGAAATATTGGAGAGTTTGCTGACTTGATGGACGAATAAGCAATGCAGAGCCATAGACTGTTCAGTTAAGAAGAGTAGAAAAAAAATAGAAGTTTTGAAGCTTTATATGTCAATGATATTTGGGAGGTTAAGGATGTAAATTCTGGGTCAGTTGGAGAGTTTGTAGTGATTTACATTTGTTAGATATTCGCAACACGTAAAGGACAAGCTTAACTTCTGAAGCGTGCTACACATCACCAGTTTATGATAAGCATGACGGTTCTCTGCATGAACAGATAAAAGCACAAAAGTTATTTTAATGGAGTCTTCAATCAACCAAATATAAATAGATGCTTTGGAGTCTTGAGTTAATAAATATAATGTATGAATGTATGCCTCCTATGTAACCTACTGCATCATGGAAACATGAAGAACATTGCAAAATGACTTGGAGATGATGAGTGACCCATCACAAGAAATGGAGATGTGGCATCTTTTAATAATGGTCACCACAGAATGCTCGTATTTAGTGTGACCTGGAATTCAAAAAATACTGAACACCAAGAACTAGTACAATAATTTCAAAAGGCTGACTTTAAGGGTTTAGGAGGCTGAAATATGCCATTCAGCTCTGAGCTTGTTCCACACGCAGTATGATAACGGCACATCTGTGTCCTAAGTCCACATGACAGTTTGATAAATTTGGTTCAGAAGAATTTATCAATCTCTGTTTGATCTCATTTCAACTGGAGTTTTCAGAAGTGGGTTCCCAGGTTCCACCACACTTTATATGTTTCCTAATTGCACTCTTGAAAAATCTGACTCTAATTTTTGGACTCTCTCCCCAGTCCTATCCACAGAAATCATTTTCTCTACTCATCCTACCCTCGTGCCTTAAAATATTGAAAACCTCAAATTACCTCATTATCTTCTAAAGTACATTGAATCCAGACCTATTTTTGTGTATTCTCTTTTTATAATTTGGTCTTTGGAAATCATTCTGATAAATGCTACACCTCCCCAAGGTCAATATAGCCTTCCTAAGGTATGGTGTCCAAAATCACTCTCAGTAATCAAGGTGTAGTTTGCACAGGGCTTTATATAGCTAAAGTGTGAATTCTTCTAGTCAATAATATGCTTTCAGTTCCATGAGCATCAACTGCAGTTGACAGTCATTCTGGAAGTCTAGATAAATAGCATTCAGAGACATTTCCCTATCCAGTACTTTAACCACCACCTTATGGAATTCAAGTAGACTCAGACGGCATGATCTAATCTTTACAAATCCAACAAAGCTGGGTCTCTCTGATCAGCTTGCAAATATTTTAGATTTTCCATCACACTTTCCTTGCCTGTATGAATTGTATTTTCTTGACATCAGATATCAGCTTGCATATTAATAATCTCTTGCTTTTTTTGATTTTTCACCATTCTTAAATTAAGATCTGTGTTCAGGTACATTTTCAAATTGCTTCACTACTGTTGAAATCGAGAAACTAGGTTACAGTCTGACAGGTTTATTTGAAATCACAAGCTTTTGGAGCGCAGCATCTTCCTGGGTGTCATGTGACTTCTGACTTTGTAACACCCCAGTCCAGCATCGGCACCTCCACATCGTGAAATTGAGAGAGTTTAGATTTGACTTTGTTTCTGGCTTATATCTTCCTTTCATGAAATGAGTAGAGAACAGATTAATTGGCCATTTATGTAATGGCTCTGTCAGGGATCTTACCTTGTGTAAAATGGTTGTCATGTTTACTTGTGGATGACACTGCAGGTGCAGTGTGTTAGATATTTTTCATAGATTTCAATCTTTGTTGTGTATGAATGAAAGAATTCTGAGTCTGACATTTGGTGCTCAGCTTTTTTTGAATATGTGTCTTTTCTTTACAAATGCTGACTGCAAATACAAAATAAATGTCTAAGAATCATGACGATCTCTGCATTAATTTCAACCAGTCAGCAGGTATTTTAACCGGATATTTGTAATCCTTCGAAAATCAAACAGAAATTAAACATTTGCTTAATTTAGGCCATTAACTCGATTAGTCTGTTAATATCACTAAAACATTGTCGATTTTCTCATCAACCTGTCCAGAAATGTTGTAAAACACCTCTAGAGCAGGTTGGACTTGAATCTTAGTCCCACTACTGATTCTGACCTCAAGGTAGAAACACCACTATGCCACAAGATCCTCCAACATCTGCAGATAGTCTGTTTGTTTCATGTAGGCCTCTCCAATAAGGAAGGATATCCATTTATGCTCCTAATTTCAATCTTCTTTTTCTTTCCTCAAGAAGTTTTAAAAATGAGCATAATTTCTTGTCTTTGGAATCAATTTCATTTTTAAAATTTAAATTGTACAAGGAAGAAAATTTCAAATGAAAGAGTTATTTCAATAATAACTACCTGTTTGAAGGCAAAACGGGTAGTTTGATTCAAATGTTTTGCCATATTCGAAACTGATATTGATGATTAATCTAGTTCTGGTGATCCAACAGCATAGTCAGAGGAATACCTTCAAGTTAACCATGCTCATAAACGAGAAATTGAGCCAAAGTAATGTCATGAAACTCCGCTGGATGTTTTCCAATTGTGCCTATTAATACTACACATTGCATTATTCCAGAGTGACCCTTTCTTTGTACATTGTTTCTGGGGAAAATGGAGTTTTCAGTGTAATATTAACAAATCACGTAACAGATGTCATTTTTAGTGTTCCACTGGGTGCGGAAAACCTTATTGCTAAGCCTCTTTTCCACAAAAATGTCCAAGAACCATTACCATTTCAACAGTATTAGGCTGTTTTTTTTACTTTGATGTTTATTGAAGTCAAATGAGAAATGCTATGATTTCTATTTTTTTTATTTGTTCTTGCGCTGTGTGGTCACTGGCACACACATTGTCCATCTCTAATTGATCTTGAGAAGCTGGTGGTGAGAGTTGTACAAGGTCATTGTTCTAAATGAGCCAATGTTGACAATCATTAGCTCTCCTCAATCACATGAAGTCACACCTAGTCTTTGGCTGGAGACAGGAGTTCTTCCTTGGAATTGTTGGTGGATGAGTGATAAGTGAATTGAACAGTGTTAAGGATTAATGTGACCTTGGTAGACTGTATCACTTTAATATGGATTCACTGATTCTGATTACTTGTGTGGGGTTATTGAAGTCCTTGTTGTACTGTATCCAGATGCTTGTCGATACAGAGAATTTCTTTTCCTTTCCAGATTCTCCTGCCAGGCCCCTTTGCAGTCAGGAATCTCCTATACTGTGTCAATGTTTCCCAGATCAGATTTACTTCCTGCATGATCACCATGCCTGCTGCAGCCTCACTGCACCCCACTTTAAGGGCTATCTTTAAGACCACATTGTAAACCTTGTAAACATCAGCTTCTAATGCTTGAATCAAGAGCAGGAAAGGCAACCAGCTGATTGGCCCGATTCTGCAATACCGGCAAATGTCAAGATGTTTGTTGTGTTTGAGGATTGCAGCTGCACTGTAATGTCTGTCAAATTCACTCCTGCTCACATTTGGAAGTTATGATACAACTGTATGACCTCCAGAGGAGCCTGCACTGATGGTTCCATTGTTTCTATTCATCAATTTAAAAACTTTGCATTCCACTTGCCTCAAATTTTTCATGTCAAAATGTTAAAGCATGATAATCACAGGCATAAATCAGGGAGTCAAATGTACATATAAAACAGGAGCAAAAGTGAAGCATTTGGATCCTCCAGCCTGCTCCACCCATTCGGTAACATCATTTCTGTTATGAATTTGTGTTCTGAATTCCAAATTCCCATCTACATTCAATGACCTTTGATTCTCCCACTGAACAGCAGTCTATTCACATCATTCTTAAGAAATAATTTATCATCTTGATTCTACCACCTTTTGAGGCAGAAATCCAAAATTCTCAATCTTCAAAAAGAAAAAAATAAATTGTCCCCATCCCTGAAAGAGTGATCACTATATTTTAAACAGTGCAATCTACAGGGTTTGATTATTTTCATTTGTCTTCTGCTCCAGATGAATGGTGAAGTTATTTTTAAATATCTTCATTGGAGGGTATCAAATGGCTATTTAGATTTCATTGACATTATTTGACAAAGAATCTGTTGCACTTAATGAGCTAGCAGTCCTTAATCAAAAACTGATTTTC